CTGAGAACAGTACTACACAATAATACAATCGAGAATGAAAGAAACAAGGAGTTAAATGTCAAATATTCATCCTGCCTTCTATCCTTCCTTTTTCCTCGCCTGTATCCAGCTGCGGCACAATGAAGTGGGACGGAGTAAATGGAGAGCTGTGGATGTGCGTGTATCACGCTCGATGGGTGTCTGATTGGACATCGTGCTCTCGGGAAGCGCTCTGTGGCACCGAGGGTTGCCTCTCGGCGGCCTATTTGGTCACTCATGTGCAAGTTTGTGTCTCGCGTGTGTGCTTGTGCCTGTAGGTGTCCACCCGACACTCAGTCCAAGCTCAGGATTACGAGGAATCCCGCCTCTGCCGTGTCGTGTGAGAGTCTCGAAGAAAAAATATCAAAATATTCATGTACACTGAAAAGCTGAAATCAAACGCTTAGATGACTAATCCCTAGGCACCCGCTCCAAAGGAATAGGGTGCTGCATATCACCTCTATTTATGGCTCCATACAGTCAACACTTTTGAATATCTAAATTCTAAATCAAAACATAAATGTTCCTGTTTGATGAAATGCGGAGCATAGCTTTAAGGTAAGTGTTGTCTGTAGTCACTTGGTGGAGGTGACGGGGCTAGCGTGCTCATGCTGGTAGATACCTCTGCAACACAAAACATGAGACGTCTCTGAGATAACGTCAACACTATACAGCCGCAAATAAAAAGTGTTGAAGACCACAAAAGGTTGAGTCTTTAAAAGCCTGCAGCATATGTCATACAGATCGTCTTCTCTTCATGCTGTATGTTCCATCATACGAGCCCCTGGCCGAGAACGTTGTTATGTAGGTGCAGAGGGCCTCCGTGTAGAGCCATACGCATGGACGCATACTATAAGGAAGGGTAGGGCAGTTTGAATCAGTAGGGGTTGGATTAAGGAGGCCATTAAGGCCAACAGTACACACACTTTAACACCGAAACAAAGAGACCACGCTGCTTGTTTCAAGCGGTTTCGACCTGAAACATTCCATTGTCTCCACCCTCAATGCCCAATTGTGAACCTGACCTTGTAATTAGGTGGCCAACTCCAAAAGTCAAAAGGTTGTCCACGTGCACATCATAACCCCATGTTGTTGTTGTTGTTTCTACGTTGAACACAACAGAGTAAATCTGGATGTTGCGTCCTTTTATGGAATCTCTATAGAGGACGGTGAAGCAAAGGAGCGAGCAGCTGCTCCACTTATTACCCAGTCAGCCGTATGGCGCAGCGAGATATCAAAACACGCTGCACCTACAGACCCCCAGCTGCTTCTGAAACTTCCCTGCAAGAAGTGTTTACCTGTCAGTCACACTCCGCCACCTGGCCTCTCTATGTTTAATGATGACGATTAACTGAATGCAAGATATTATTCTCCAGAAGTGACCCAGAGCAGACAGCAAACGGTTAGGGGACTCTTCTCTTTAAACAAATTTAAGTTCCTAAAAAAACCAATCAGGGGACTAATGGGAAACAAACTAAAGGGATTGTGGCAAAAGAACACATGAACACCTCCTTAATAGATGTCGACATGCCTGGTGGACATCCTCATCAAAGTCTAATCACGCACTAGTGTTTTCAAATAACCCTGAAATCATTGGTGAGACTGAATTCTAATCAGTTCTGAGAGCGTCAAGGAGCCCTTCAAAAGTCCACTGACAGGCCATTTGAACCCCTATTAGCAATCAGTAATTCTATGCTTTTATCACAAAGACTGAGCATAACAGCTAAAGACGAACGCTCACCTGCTGGTAGATCAGTGTGCTGAGGTTTCTAAATACGTAAGGTACAGCAATCTTAATGGAAACCAATTGATTCGCAGAAGGAACTGGCAAAGTTGTGCTGCACCGTGCCAAGCCGAGGGGCTTCTCGTGCCATCTGATCCATCACTGACAGTGAAAAGGAAACCAATTAAGGCCCTGGCAACCGGAACCTCAAGTTCAGCTACTTCCTCAAGATGGTGCCAGGGAAATCCATGGAACAACCAAAGTGTGCCAGACCAAATAGCTCAATCGCAGATCCGTCCAGTTGCCCGGGGGCAAAGAACGCCAGTTTCTCCAGATGAAGGCCAACAGTCATGGTTGATTGTCTTGCATGTTTCCTTTCAATAATCAGAAAGGTCTGGGTCAGTCGGCCCGTGAGGACACCATAGTCCCCCCAAAGTCATTGAAATAGATCCACAATCACGAACAGAGCTCTGTCTGGAGAGATAATTTGTACTGCTGACTCAGACAGCCGAAGCCTCCAATAGTTAATGTCTCCACTCCATGCTTCTCAAACCCTTCATTTTGTATTCAGATTTAAATCCCTGGGGGTCAATTGTCCCGGTTTCTTTGCATCGGAGGTTCTGGAGGAGGTCCAGAAGACACCTGAGAATGGGGCCCGTGCTTTGGCTCTGCAGGGACAGGATTTTCCCTTTAATCTGCCTCATTCTAAGGGATGAGGGAGGCGACTGGGAGACTCATCCACACACGCCACCATCACCAGATTAGTCTGCTGCTAAAGGAGAGCTGGATTAGATTTCATCACAATCAAGCATCACCATTGTTGTTCATTATAATCGTTTGGATGGAGGGTGAAATGCTGAGCATTACAATCCCCTGGTGAAGGAATGACTTTTTATTGGTTTTAATGTGATTATACGCGTATATTTGTATTAACAACCAAGACAGGATTCAATTGATTTCTCAAAGGGTGCATCTTAAATTATAGAATACCTGCAATAACTACTTTTCAAGACAAAATAAGATCAAAAAATAATAATAGATATTGATCGTATGAAACATAATTGAAGTTATCACTCTAATCACTCTCACACTAATATTATCAAGGGATACCATTAATAGGTTCACATGTATCACATTTTTACCCTGCACTCCTCTTTACGATTACGGCTTTCCATCCTTCTCGTTTCTTTTTGACAATTCCTTCTGTCTTAATCCCTCATATGTGTTAAATTTAGCTTCTTCCTAAATCCACAGCCAAGTCTTATTCTCTTAAGATCATGACAAATATAGTTTGTTCCCAACGGAAAAATGTTAAAATAAGTGTGCAGATTCATACTGGCAGCGGAGGTAAACAGTTGTAGTACTATATTATCCCTATTTGGAAAGAATTTAGTGCAAAAGCATCTACAATAAAGATCAGTATCAACTTTCTTTCCTCGCTGCTTTTTAATTCCTTTCCTCCATTAATCTTCACTCATTCTTCTCCCATTCTTCTTTCTGCTCGCAGACATTAACGTCCTTGCTACTTCCTTTCTCCGTCTGTCCCGTCTCTGTTGCTCCCTCCTCGAAGCACTTGCCTTTGATTACTAAGGGAACTCATTTTATTCATCTCCCCGTGCATTGTTTACTTCCTACCTGCGGCCCCTCGCTCCCTTAGCAGATGCCGTTAAAAGCCCGGCAGTGAGGGGCTTACAAGCCAGTACCTGCCGTACTTTTACTGATCACATTTCCATCAGTCTCTTTCCAACATTCCGCTTGTAGACGCAACTAAGAAAAAGTGTTCAGATGAAGGAACACGGCATCCCAAGGATGGCGTGGCCATACACCTTGACCGCAGACAGCGAGGTGGCAGCTTCCGCTTACACTGACACTTGAGATGCTTTTAGTACTTTGAATACAAGTACGTTGTACAAGCAATCCACACCATCAGATATTTACCTATTACCATATACACCATTTTAGGGTGTATCCTAGCTCACTGTTTTTATCATTCAAGTATCCCTGCTGAGTTACATAATTCCTGATCCGTGTTCAATTTGTCCGTGTTATTATAAAAATATCAGGCCATAAAATGTACTTGCGGCACAGGTGCACTTTACTGTATGTGCAAGAGCTTTTATCAGGAGTGGGCTTCCAAAGGCACCGGCTTTTCACGTTGAACTTGTGTTGAGCATGTGAAAGAAGAAAAGTAGAGAGTCCAGTGCAGTGTTTGACAATGTGTTATTTTTTTTAAACAATTAAATACAAGACTTTCTTTGAACTGATGGTCATTTTGCAGATTTAAAAAAAATAAAGCAAATTAATAAATGAATTCTGAAAATCCTCAACAGATTGTTTGACAGTGTCAACACTTTTTAAACTATAATTACGGCACTGTTTTATCTAAAAAAAATGGTCTTACAATTTAGTTTTATATTTTCTGCGGTAAGAGGTGAACAAATGAGGTATTAAGTCCTAAAGAAGTGCAAAACAGCATTAAACCGTGGAGAAACCAAAATATACTGAATATCTTTCTGTTTAGTTGCGTCATTGAACGACAGAAAGGACAGAAGATGTTAAGGAAAAGTGAGCTTATCACAAAATCTCTGCGCTGGCACAGTGGAGCGGGATCTGAACAGTAACCCTGCCGATGTCATTGCCCCAGCCTCCCGTCACTAAGTCGACACGCCACATGCACTCGCACACAGCGCTAGACCGGAGTAAAGTGAGGAGTCCTGCTGAATGTCTCTTGCTTTGCTGAATACAAAGCAGGCCTGGAGGTATAATTCCACACCTCCAGGACACAGTCTTCCACCCTGAGGCCAATGGAGAAGCACCTTTCTTTTCTCTCTCCCTTCAAAAGAGGAGGTCTGTCAAAAGAACCGCAGTGAAACAATGGCAGTTTTCAATAACTACCGTTACTAACCCGATACTCTATTGAGTTTCTTTCACAGATAAAAAAAGCTGTTTTCCTTAACCTAGGCCCATCCACCACATCATTCAAAAAGATTTTGAAAAATCATTTCAGGGCGGCCATCTTCAAGTACACACAGTGTTTTTAACCCTAATTGGTATCGAGCTGAAAAGAGACAAGAGTCATGCTCAAAAAGGGAACGTGTCTTGGCACCGGCTAATGGAATACATTAATCTGTACCGGCTCTTAAAAGGCAATATTACCAAAGGATTTTGAGTGTTTAAAAGCACCCTGCCGATCACTCAACCGCCACCATCCTTCACCCTCATGAGAAAACACTGCAGGAGGCTTCGGCGCAGTTCTTACCTCTTTCCCAGACAGGTAGTAGGCGGACAGCAGACCTCCAACGAACCGAATGTTCACCTCAAACACGGAGACTTCTGCATTCTGCAGCGGGAACAAAGACAAGAAATGTGAGGGGAGGAACACTCGCAGCTACCCATGAATACAAATGCCTCCTCCCACAACCTGTGAAGGAGGAAAACACAAACTCAGTACAGAAATGCTCCCGGGCTCCTTTTCCCCCCTCGGAGAGGATTACATTGAAGGGGGGCTTTCCACACTTCAGAGGGATTTTTTGAAGCAGGAAACGGTTAATAGTGGCAACATTCGATTTTGGGCTGGTTTAGAACCAAGACCTGCCACGGATAACTGAGTATGCCATTAGAGCGTAAGATGAAACAATGAGCAAAGTCAGTGTTTTGATGAAGTGGCTTGCCACATACTGTATCAGCAAGGCGCATGTGTGCATGTAGTAACCATGTATTGAGCAGTGGATACCTGCAGTAGTTTTTTAGTCTGCACCCAGGTGTTTTAACATAGAATAGTATGAACTAGTTTAGTGTACTGTGGATCAAGAGATGGTGAAGTTGGCTGCTCCATCACTGGGGTTCTGAAACATCTCTGTTATGACAGTTTGACTTTTTATGCCCCGATACCTTTATTTACTGCTAACTAGCTTGTTGTTAGCAGGCCAAAAAAACAGCTACACTACACTGGTGTTATATTTGAAGTTGTTTGGTTGCTCTGCATATATTTAAGGAAGTTTATAAAAATAATGACATGCCGACGGGGGACAAGGACGTTTGTTGGCCACTGATCGGAAGGCTTCATATCCTGCAAACTAAAAGAAAAGTGCTCCGCATCTCAAAATACAATCCCTCTACTCGCAGACAGTTTTTGGCAGAGGGAAGGCGACAAACAATGACAAAAAGTGGAAGTTTGTAAAGCCATTTGTCGGAGCAACAGAACAATGAAGCTCCATCTGTCCCTCTCCCTGCGCCTTTGTGAACGGATTCCCGAGTCAGAGGGAGTATTTGTGCTTGACTGACAGCTCTCATAAGTCACTGCTGTCAACCAGAGATAGGACAATGGAGTCCGCCCGTAACAAAAACAAATTAAACGCCAGACAAAATGTGCCCGTCCCCCCCCTTCCCCAAGTGTGTACGACTGATTGAGCGGTTAGATTGTGCCGCTAATTCTTACCGAATTAAAATGTAATCATTTCCTCCACAAAGCGCAGCAATGCAAACGGACACAATTATTTCCACCTGCTATTGTGGGAGGGCAGTTTGGACTGAGAGTGAAACAGACACAATTTCCGCTTCATTTTGAACAGACAAGCTTTCCAGCAGGTTCCATCAGGCTTTCAGCCACCTTCGCTGCTTTATACTCCCTGACAGTGACCCCTGCAGTCGCACGAGTCAGCAGTTGGGTGACGTTATCTCATTCCCGCCAGATGATGCTCGGCGGAACTGGCAGGCGAGGAGTAGAGACCTCTGATGTTGAATCCATTAGGGAGTGCATAGGAAACGGGGAGCTAATGAAGGGCCGGAGCAAGATGCATCGACGGCATAATCGCCCGAGTAGAACCTCTTTGGATGAAAGTGGATGCGATGATCTCTTTTTTTGCGGTGGGGGGTTAATGGCTACTTGTTTGGTGTCATTGGAAAAACTCAACTCTAAGAAATGTGAGAGCGGAATGCGGGGGAGAGGGGAGCAACATACACATATATTTTTCACATGACAGAATATTCCCTTTTCCCAACCAGGCTCTTTCGTGGCTTACGATTGCGCGATGTGTTTCAGAGCGTTATGAGTTATGCCAGCGGGAGTCTCAGGAGGTGCTATAAACTCTTTCCCTTTAAATAGATCTAAGAAGGTGTTGCTTAGCTGCTTGTGTCAAAATAAATGGCGATGTGACCTGTGCGGCTCCTGCGGTGGGACTCCGAGTGAGGTGTCGTAGACTTGTCAGGTTCGAGATGAAAAAGGAAAACAATTTTTACACGTAGACAAGTGTTTATTTTGGTAAGGAGCGTGCAGGTCAGCTGGTACGCATCACTGGAACATCGATGTGCTTCAGTCAGCACGGGGGTAGTGACTGTAGGGTCCAACTCCTCGACAATTGCTCTTCCATGTTTTGTGGTTCGGCTTTGAATCAAAGTGTGTCGCATACTAAAGTCACCAATACCACTTTTGTGTCAGATCTAGGAAAACCTTCCGTGTAGTAACAAGAACACATGTGTTCTTGTTACTACACGTATGTACATTCTTTAATCATCCAAAATTAAAGCATCATCGTGGGACTCAATGCAGCTTCAATACAAGGTAGTCCGTCTGCATAGAGCATGCTGCAGTCAGGCTCACAGGGAACTGGTGGAGCTCATAAAGTGCCGTATCGATTAAATCAAATTCACTCATTTATGGTAAGAGATATTTCTGTTCCTTTTAACGGGCTCACAATTGACTTTCTGGCCAGCAGCTCTTCCTGCCTTTCCTGACATCATCATTAGTTGCTGTTCCAAGTGATCAGTACGTGGTGTGCGGGTGTGCTTTGCATTACGATGTAGTAATCCTTATTCTTTACTCACTCATCACACAGCAGTTATGAATAGCACAAAAGTTCAGCATAACTATCTCAGCAAACCGGCTGCTGCTGTTATTTTACTGTTTGCTGCTCTGTGTGTGTGTGTGTCTGTGCACTGACTATTCAAAGCCATCAAGACTGGTGCACTTTTACTTGGGGACAGTTGTACTGACGCAGACGTGTTCCATAAAGATGTCATGTACATCTGCATGCTCTCCTTTCTCCATCTGCTACTCTGTGTCTTCTGGCAAAGTGTCCAGAGACAAAAACTGCTGGCTGCTGTCATCACGTCCGCATTCATAAGCCTCAAACAATCCCCCATGTAGGTTTTAACAAACCTTTGTCTTCTACTGTCTCTTTTTCATTCCCCTTTTTTGCGTTTAAAAATCCCTTTTTAAAGTGTTTCTTTAACCTCGGGCGCAAGGCAGTGTTTTCATCTTTTCAATCTCCTCTGGGAAGGTTTGAAACTTTCCTGGATCAGCTCACTTGAGTCGCAAATGTTTGTAGTTGTTGACTTCTGTGATGTCCTTTGTCCGATGAGCGATTTGCCATCTTCTGACGAACCTCCTGAATAAGTGAACCGGAACGTGTAAAGCAGGCGTGCCGATAGGTCGATCGCCAAGGCAGTGCCGGCAGATTGCTCATCATTGGAAAACAAATCACATTGGGTCATAACGTGACCGACCTTGCGAAATAACGGAATACTTGGTAGTGCTTATTAGTGATCCTTGCTCACTAAGGGACACATTTAGTTTAATTCAAAAGCAACCCTGGCTGATTCTAATCAGTTATCCGAGTGAGGTAATCAAGAGTAAATGGGATGGTTGTGACTATTCTCTTGCTTCTGATCCTGGATACGCTACTACTCGTTCCCTCGACTACGACCCTCTTTCCTCACCGAGGACCAGCCGATGGATCGCCACGACTGCCGATTGAAAAGTAGCTTTGGTTGAAAAAGTGTGGGCATCCCTGGTCGAAAGCTATGCTTTCACAAGATACTTTAGTAACAATTGAAATCCTCCTCTCCCAAGGTGTTTTCACAATAAATGCCTTGCCATCAAAAAGCACTTATCCTACAGCATTACGCTTACGCTTACCATGTGTGGAGCATCAAAGGTAGCTTTACGCTACAGCAGCAAATTAACAGAGGAGATGAGAAAACAACAGGCCTCTTGCTGTGCCGATGCTGCTAGAATGACAGGACGACTGCTGGTTAATGCTGTAAATAAGGCAGGATTAGGCACGGGGGGGCATGGGAATGAGCTGCAAGCCACAGTTATGATGTCAGTACAGTGAGGAGGAACCATACACCATGTAACAACTTACATGAACTCATGCCGTTATAGCGCCAATGTGTGACCAGAACGTAACGGAAATCTAGCCCAGTGTTTTTCAACCTTTTTTGCGTCAAGGCACACTTAAGACACAGAAAAAATCTCACGGCACACCAACAACCGGAAATGATATGAAAATCAATCCCAAACATAGTTTCAGCATGAGCATAATATACTCAGGGAAACGCATGTTCTATTTGTTGTGTTTTATTAAACTTAATATCATCCTAATGCCAAGATGGCACAGGCTTTATGCCCAGGTATCTCTTAAGCCTAGTTTATCAGGCCTACCAACTCTCACGGTTTCGCCGTGTGACACACGCTTTTGCATGTTTTCACACGCACTCACGCCACACAACCAATTTCTCACGGCAAAAAAAAAAATCTGATTTTGGGCCGAAGCGCGTTCGTTCCTTTTCAAACTCCCCGACAATAGATGGCGCTAAGGAGCGCATCTGTAAACCCATTCGCTGCATAGACATCCTATTTACCCCAAAGAGTCCCGAAGTTAGCAACAGAAGAAGATTTTCAAACAGACACAACCGCGGGAGAAACTCAGGAGGAGCAAAGACTAAGGTATGTTAATGACATGTGGTTCAATTAAGTACTCACTCTCTTAAACTTTAAATCTTGAAAGAAATTATTTGTTGTGTTTGTGCGTGTGATTTTGAGTGGTGAATGTAAACTCAGCTGTCATAACAAGCAGCAGGAGAGCACCTTGTTAACCTCTTGGTATACTGCATGCTCAAAACACAAATTACTAACCAGCTTCTGATCTCCTTCTTAATACCTCATTTTTTGTTATTTTATTTATGTGTATTTATATTATGTGTATCCATTGTTTTGCTTTGAAAGGCTACTGTTTAAGCACTTTAAGCACTTTATTTGTTGCACTTTTTTGTTTGATAATGAAAAATATTTTTCCCTAACTAAACTTGTGTCATTTTTTGCTGAACATAAATCATTAAGTGCTCTTAAGAATACAATTATTAACAATATAGGTTAGGTTTCAGTTAAGAATTAGTTGAATACCATTGTAATCAAAATGTCAATCAACCTAAATTGGTCTAATCTTAAACACAGGTCTATTAATTAGGCTATATTGTGGTACATAGACAGTCATTGAGGCACAGCAATAGTTTTCTGGTTGAATGTTCAGCTCAAGTCTAGAAGGCCCAACAAGTCATGAGCAGATGAACATAAATCAGAATAAGTTCAGGCATACCACCCAAAAATCCACGAGAATGCATGAAATAACATCTACTTAAACCAAAATGTCCTGGGGGTGGACCATCAGCTATGTCTTTGCTTCACAGAATGTAACCAATGTTGTCCATCTCCAGTAGGCCGCCCCTATCAACGACTTTGGGCCCCACAAACCACCAGAATGCAGGGTACAACATGGGTACTACGCCAAATGAATTCCAATTTCCTGATATTTGAGCCACCAACGTGTGTGGCTGCGTGCGCGGCAAAATTTTGGTCACCCCCGACAAAATCTCACTCCAAGGTTTTTTGAAAAGTTGGCAGCTCTGGTTTATGCTTCTGCGTTTTCAGAGCGACGCGGACGCAAGACCCCCTTGCGTGTCCCTTGCGTCGCTTTTCACACCTCCTTGCGTCCTTGCGTGTGTCGAGCCAGTTTTCTAGGCTTGCGTCAGCAACGCAAGCCTCCCGCAGCGCACCAGGCTGCGATTGGTCCGCTCACAGTCTCACATTTCCGCTTTCATAGCCCGATACCGCCATTATTAAAACGAAGAATGTTTACGAGAGAACGGATCAGATTTAAGAACTTTTGTCGTAGGAAATGCGCAAATATGAACGCTTATACAAGCTGTCATTGGCGGGTTGTAGAAGCGGGTTGGATTCAGTCCAAGTCAAGTTGTGGAGGAAAATACGGGACAAATGTGTCCGCGATGAAAAGCAGCAGTGGCGATGCACAGGGCAATGAAGTCTATGATAAATAAAAAAAATAAAAAATAAGTAGACGTGACTCTCTAGGTCGTCTTCAACAAAACACGTTACTCCGCCTGTTGTTCTGGCGGTGCTCTACAACACACGCAAGACTTTTAGAAGCATGAATTGAAACGAGTGCGTCGACGCACACACAGAAGCATTTTTTAAATTGTCATCTCAGCAAATCTGCCTATTAATTACGCTGCGTACCGCCACCCACAGGCAGAGGGGAGTATTGAGCCTTCATACCACCAACAGCGTGACGACACACACTCTTTTTTTTTCACCAATGAAGTGACAGTATGTAAAAAATGTTTTTTTTTCACGGCACACCTGACAGCCTCTCGTGGCACACTGGTTGAAAAAGACTGATCTAGCCAGCGAGCTATAACTTCGCCACATGGCTTAAATGTGGCGCTAGTCGCATTAAAAGCTTACATGCTAAAGTATGTCAGGAACATTACGAATGCTATGTTTTCCTAAATGTGATATATAATTAGAATCTAATGAGACCTAAACGTTTTGGCTGATGCAAAGTGTGCGTGCTCGCGCATACGAGGTGCATGCTAGCAGATAAGTGCAGTTCACTTAATGGCCATCGCTGTCATTAACGACCAGCAATTCTGAAAATACCAAATAGCAGCTGGTCTGAAAGTGTTTTTTTAAATACACCACTTGATATATTTCCTTCCCAAACAGAGGCTTAAGCAGCCAGCTGTTTGGCCCCCATTGTTCTCCTGTTCTCTGTAAAGTTGGCTGCAAGTGATATATTGTAGCCTCGGAAGTTGTTATGGAGAGTGAAAAAAAGCAGCTTTTAAAATAATTAATTATCAGCAACCGGTCACATGGACCCTAGGAGGCAATTTGTCCTTGTCTGCTCGTATTAATTTGACAGGCAGTTAATACATCAATCATAATGTTGTTTTAATGAAAACTCAACTCCTGGCATGTGCTCCTGGAGTTCATCTACAAGGATTTGATGGAGGTACAGCACAGGAATAAGGACAGTTATGATCATATTTTGTAGGATTTAGGATTTTTTTTCATATGCTTTCAAAAGATAAATTAAGTGTTGTTTTTTGTGGGTGTGTGCTTGTGCGTGTGAGGGGGAGAGAATGAGTGTCGTTGTGATGATCAACTGAATTAACTTTGCTGAACCTTGATCCTCTGCCATAATACACCCAATAGACTCTTAAATTACGTTTAATTACATTGAGGGTAAAATGGAGCCTTGAAAGACCTTTTAAGTCCAGGAGTCATTGGACGCAATACTCAATATCAGAGTTGTGTGGAAAAACAAGAGATATGAACACAACGTCTGACATCCAAATAACTTCAGGTGAAGTGAAACAAATATTTCAGCAGCTAGGGCGATAATTCACATTCAAAGTGCACCTTCAACTCAGTGTTGTTCACTGTTCATCATGCGATGCTGTTCATTAGTCGACTGCCTGGCACACATGCTTTCCCGACAGCACTCGAATGCAGCATACTTGTTTGGAGTGTATCCGAAATCTAGATCTAGATCCACCTGTCAGTGTGAGGCTCCGCTAAGTCAGTTTGTAACATTTTGAGATGTGCTTCCAACTTGGTAGTTTGATAAGGAAGGTTTTTTTAATTGTTGGAAGTAAAATAAATAACAACTTGTCAACTTGTATTTGCGACACGCCGCTTTCCAGCGGAGCCTGAATGTCCTGTTTGCTGTGTCTCTTGGAAACTTTTGAAGATTTTGTAATGTAGTAGCGTATATCATTTATGCTACAGCGTTAAATTGAACTACGGTCAGCAACTGGTTGAAACAGGCCTTGATGGTGATGCATCCAACTTTTGTAAGTCCTAGGGTCAGGGTTAGTCATTGACATTTAAGTGTGTTACACAAACACAATTTGAAAGCAGTGTTTGAAAATGATGAAGCACTTTTTAAACACGAATAACAACAAACATACTATATAATATTCAAATTGTATTTGATCCAGAGACCAAACACCAAGCAAAAGGTATTATAAACACATGATTATCAGTATAACCAAGGCATAGCATAATGAGCATAATAAGCTCAAAATTGCAGGATGTTTTAATATCTCATGTGATACACATTCCTTAATCGCATGACGCAAAAACGTACTGATGTAATTCTCTGATGCCGGGTTGATTACATTGTACAAACCAATTAGCCAGGCTTCTAATGGATCGCAGCGCACTTAATCAAAACAGTAATTTTGATTCCACCAACGACATATGTAAATAAAAAATGTTTCATAACTTGAGACAACGCACATTACCCCAGGAATCACAGAGGTTTGTGTCTTTCTGTGTGTGTGTGGACAGGAAATGAGAATACAGACTTCAATGGTGCAAGTCTGTTAATTCTTACTATTTTAATGCATGCACACACACACACCCTTACCATATTAAAGTCGAGGTTCTTCTCCACCCAGTCAGTAGCAGCATCAAACTCCTCAAACATCTCCATGATGTAGAGGGTATCCAGAGCGTCCACTATTGTCGCTCCCTTTATACTGCCTGCAACAGAAACAAATGGAATGGGTTAGAAATGATTTGCAGAATTTGTAAAATACACCCGGTGATCAGAAGTTCACAGCAGGACCGTTCGGAGGTTGAATAGATGATTGGGCTTGACAGACGGTGAGGGGCCGCGGTTATCGGCGCTGATGGACCGTCGGGAGTACCGCTCATCTCTGGCGATTGGCCTCGCAGCGGGAGCGGAGACGCAGAGGCCGTCGTCCCGGCGCTCACATTACCCAGATACCCCTTTCCCGAATCCCACCCTACCCCCGGCGCCTTGGCCTGGGTTTGTGGCAGGGAGCTCGATGAATCATTGAAAAGAGGTGTAAGGGCATTAACACATCAGCGTAGGGAGGACGAGCGCACAGCTAGAGGGGCAAGGAGTAGAGGTGGAAAAAAACAAGAGAAAAGACACTGAAATAATGATGAGGACAGAAAAAAAACAAGTCAAAGACGGAGTTGGAAAATGATGTTTGGCGCCGAGATGAAAAACCAGGAAGCTGCAAGTTTGTTATTGTGTGAAATCGGTAGGTTTTCTTTCCTTCTGCAAGTAGTGGGAGGATGCAAAGGCTACTAAAAGCTTTCCATTACACACGTAACGCTGAATCATCAGCTACGCCGCTGGGCACAGAAGTAGCACTGTGCTCACTCTGTGTCTGCAAAAAAGGATTGTTAGTGCTTTAGAAATAACCACAATTACAAATGACATTGCAGATCTATGAGAGGAGGATTGTGACAACAGATGAGAAAGGTGTGATTTAAGCCACATTTTGGGCTGTTGCCGAGTGCATTTCCTTACTCTGGGGAGCACCGGGCCAGCTGTTTCCCACTGCTTCCAGCCCTAATGCTAAACTAAGCTAATCTCCTTCTTCAGGTTCCAGCACCATACTTAATTTACAGATTAAGTGACAACTATCCTATTAGATGCAAAGGAACGTAACAAAGACATGATAATCCAACGTGTAAAATCCATCAGACATGAACCATGTTCATGATGTTCTGTGTGTAGGAAGAGAAGAGCCTGTGAGCGCAGGTGTCGGCTGATGCTGTCGGAGTCACTCGTCCTTCCTGTTTTCCATCCACCTCCCATTTTCACTCCATCGAACCCCACAGTGCGACAATGGAGAGGACGAGACACTTTCCTCCCGTCCATTGTCTTGTCACTTTGCTTCCTTCCTCCTCACTGCTCATCCTGGGTCCGAGTGTGTGAGTATGGGAGTGTGTGTGTGTGATTTGAAGGTTACGGGTGGGCAAAGTGTGCCCAGAATAGTAATACTAAAAAGAAGATGAAGAAACTATTTTAGAGCGGAAAAGAGAGATTTGTAAAAGGTTTCTTTGACTTTATGTGAATTAGTGGGAATTTATTACTTAAAATACTGAACATTAGCTGGTTACATCTCATTGAGTCCTTTGCTTCCTTCACATATGGCAATAAATGTAATACTTTTCCTAGTCCATAAGTTATTGCACTAAAAATAGAGAACACTTGTTCTTTCACATGTCGCAGAAGAACAAAAATAATCTCCGACGTATCAACGGGCCATGAGGGAGTAGGTCAGCGGATGAAGGATTTGTGTCAGCGTCCAGATGGGAGGACTATACAATCGGAGACGGAACCAAGCTGAGGTCCGCGAGGTTGCCAGAGCAAAGTCTGACGATCTCGGAGTTGCGGTGCCGCCGAGCGGTTTGTTTTCCGTGGTGAGACGGAGAGCGCGGCGAGGCGGCAGATGGCGAGGCAGAGGGCTGCGATGCTCGTGTAAAGCACGAGTGGTAGCGGAGGAGGAGAGAGTCTCGGAGACGGAGCAGCAGGGGAGGACGGGCCTTGTGATATTTGCTGGAGGTGGTAGGCTGCTGACAGCGGGAGGATTCTTACATATGTACAAAGTCTTTCCAGAAAACCACCGGCACCAATGTGTTCTCCTTCTGACTTTCTCCCTTCGCTGTTTCCTGGTGCAGCAGTGCGAGTGCACAGTGTGAAGAAATGACATTTTCATGCAAATCATTTTTGTTTTGTTGAATTAAATATATATATTTATCTATTTAGTAAAAATAACAAAAATTACATATCATTTCATTTTTGTGTCCTTGAACATGGTGCCGCGTGTCGGAGGTGAAGCTTGTGAACGCATCAGGTGCTTCAAAGGACAAAGAGAGAAAACAACGTTTGGGATTTGATGCTCGCCCTTTGCAACATCACCAATAAAGCACAGCACAGGAAAAAACGATAGGAGTTCCGGATGGGAAGATGAACAATGGAAGAGCTGAAGAATCGTTCCCAGAGAACGAGGATGGATGGGGGTGGCATGGCGGTAAAAACAAAAAGGGAGAGACACGGCCCAAAAGTCATTAACACCCGGGGTGCCTCGTTGTAGTGTGGCCTGAAACACGAGCCGTTCAGCTGCCGCTTTTCCTACTCCACTCGCCCTCCTCTCATAAGACCTCCATCAATCAGTTCTCCTTATTCGTTTTTCTCTTTTCACAACAATTCTACCCTTCCTCTCCCCTGGTGTCCCTCTATATCTCCTATTCTCATGGCTTGATTGCTGCTATTCACCCTTTGCTTCCTCTGTCAGCTCCTACCTCGAACATAACATAACAAGGGGAGAGGGATGGGTGAATTCAAGCAGAGAGAAAAGCACCACACCTTCATTCATCTCCAATATAGGCAGATGTCCTTAACAAAACACACACACACACACACACACACACATTGAAAAAACAGTCCGGCCTGTCATATCTTATAGTATGTCATGTACAAAGTGTTAGTCTGCTGCATTTTGGTGCTAAAACCAAGTATTAGCTGGTTTAACTTTACGTGTGGATGACTGGTCAATAACGACATTCATTCACTGCACTCCTACTCCTACGTTGCAGTGTGTTTGTGTGTGCGTGTCAGTCAGAAGAGTGATGCATTGTTAGGTTGTTCAGAACAAAATGACCTTCGCTTCACACAATCAGGCAGTGAAGACAGAGCTGTAATCTGTGATGTCGGACCGGCGTGATTGATTGAGAGTGACTGACAATGCGGTGTCGCTTTTTGTGTTTCTCACACACATACACACAGACGTAAAAAACAACACGTTGATCGTGTCAAAATGCAAACATGAGCTCTACTGATTCATCTGTAAACAGCTGTGCTCCTTCCTGAAAGAATTGAACAATAAACCCACATCGATCCCTTTTTATTCGCTGCCTTTAACACCAGGCCATATTTGGAATGAAGCGGTTGTGTGAGTTTCTATAATTTCGACGTGCATCGCTCACCCTGCACACGCCCTTCTGTTGTCATTTTCATATTTATTCGTACACTTACATCGGCTCTACTACGCTACATCACTGACAGTTAAAGCGCCGTGCCTACTTGACTAGCATAATAAATAACTTGATTTGTAGATTTGTAGACTTTCCTCACGAGCGCACAACTTTCAATCTGTAAAGCCCGAAACGTCACAGAGGTAAGATCAATCCCTCGTATCGCTGGAGGAACAACATACGAGTCAAACATACGGGACACACATTTGGTTAGCAGTGAGCAGCGGACAAGTTTACTCGAAGTACATAATGACATACTACTACATTAAACCATATCGATCAAACCAATTGATGGTGTAGGACATGAATATACGCTTTAGCCCAATGAAGATCGCACTCTTAGTCTCACTCAATGTGCCGATGAAACGCTTTTCTTCGATGGCACTCCTCATTAGAAACAAGTACCAAGCGTAAATATTCATTTGATTGCAACTGTTTGCGGTGACGAGAGCGAAGAGGTCCCAATCTTGATGAAAACATAATATTCATGCAAAGGCGAAAAAAAACATAAATTCTATTGTGCTATAAAAGCAAAAGCAGGCTTTGACCTAGTATTGTGAAATGGCATGAACTTTACGACGCATCCCTCAGCCGTACAAGCAAATCATAACCTCTATCCAGCTTTACTGTGGGATGAATTAATATCGGCGCTGCACGCTGACTCAGCAGCCTCAGCCTCCGGGAGACGGACAGCAGTCAGAGGAAGTGTCAGAGATATTAAACCGTACAGAAGAGAAACTGCTATTCTCTTCAGTCTTAAAAATGAATACATCTCTTCTTGAAGTGTCTCTTCAGCTCACAGTCTTTTCAGTAGCCCAGAAACTTTACAAACTTTCCAAAAAAGAAGTTCCGTATCGTAGCGCTAACTAAATGCAAACTCAAGGTCTAATCTCTATTCCTGCAATCTGACCCCGGTCTTGACACCCTTCAGCCCTCATGGTGATCCCATTTAGGCCCGATCGGCTCTGCACCGAGTCCACTCCGTATTCTGCAAGGGGTCGCCTGAGGGGAGGTGAGAAAAAGTGATAGCTAAGCCTAATCGAGTTATCCTGGGCAGAAAGCGGGCACGCACGCAAGCCCAAAGTGTATTAACCCATCGGCTCCTGCAGCCGGATACTCCGGCGTCGGCACCTTCCTATTTTTTGGTCAAGGTTACGGTGAAAGGCGCGCTTACTCTTTCTCTCTCTGTACAGTGGTACAGAAATAAAAAGTGATTCCACAATAAGCTGTCACCGAGCAAAGTAAAAGGAGCCTCACTTTTGTTTGGCAGCCCCGTTTAAATCGGGCCTGGGAATTTCTTGGAAGTCGTGCGGGGTGCGTGTACAACAGTGTGCTCATCGTCGGGGAGACGGGGCGGTGGCGCTGCAGTGTGTCGTTCGGGGCCTCGGAGGGTGGGGGAACCTAAAGGAGGGATTGTCGTTGGTGCGTACGAGCGGCCGTGATTAATTCATGTGGATGCCGACTCAAGGCTCTGTGACAAAAGGCTCTCAAGAGTATGCAACACAAGAGTCTGGTAAGGTGTACGTGTGTGTGTGTTCATGTGACGGATACCCCCATTTCAGCTGCTGCATCCCACCCACCTCTCAGCAGAGCGTGATTTACATCACATCAGACACAAGCAAATACACCGTCCATCCCCACCCCACACACACACACACACACACAACCTGAGGGTAGGCCGGAGC